GGTGCATCTGGTTGGAACCGACATTGTCGACGTTGACGATGAAGATCGACTTGAAGTCCTCCAAGTACGACTTGAGCTTTTGGAAATATTCTTCCTTCTTGCCTGCCTTCGACATGGTGATTCTGTTCGAGGGAATTTAAAGGTCTAGAGATCGCAAGTGAGGACAGGAGTCAGTGGTCGAGATCTCGCAGTAGGGATGGTGGATCCGATCCTGACTGTTCCAATTGTGTCTCCATTGCTGCATTGCATGTGGCGATAGAGATGGGTGGGCAGATCGATCGATCGATCGATCGATTCCTGGTCCTGAATGCAACTGAGGGCTGGGGGCACATACCAAAAGTGAGAGGGATTCAAAATCCAACTTGCAGACTTTGGGCCACGTTTTGTACAGCTGCCGCAAGCCACTTCGACTTTTTCTTCATTTCCTCACGCCTTGCTCTGAGGGACAAGCGCCATTGCCGCTGGACATCTCTTCAACCCCATCAGGAACAGGAATCTGGTTGCGCGTCCTCATTAGGACTTGAGTGCGATCTTTGGACCATCATGTTTTCTCCACCGCCAAAAATGACATATGGAGAGCTAGACTCGGACGACAAGGTTGATATTGGCCGACTGGCGACGTGGACTGTATCCTCTGCCAAGACAGATCATGGAATCGAGATGCTTCGAGACGACAATCTCGACACCTACTGGCAGTATGTTACCGTGATGGAGTTGGTTCGTTTGACTTGAGGCCTTGTCAATCACGTTCCATGGATACAAGTAACCCCATCATACTCCTTTCGGCCAAAAAAATGGTTTACACCCGCTCCCTGCAGATCCGATGGTCCTCAACCGCACCTCGTCAACATGCAGTTTGAGAAGAAGACTTCGATACAACAACTGTCCTTTTATTTCGACTTTAAGCAGGACGAGAGTTATACACCCCTCAGGATCAGTATCCGAGGAGGGACAAGTTTTCATAACCTCAAGGAGCTTATGAACTCGGAACTGGAAGGGATCACAGGATGGGTCAACATCAACCTAGAGGATGTTCCTGGCAGGTAAATACCATAGGAAACAATCAGAATGGTCTTTTTGGTCCAATTCAGGCAGCTCCGACTCAGGACTATGTGTTTTTTTTTTTTTTTGGACATTTGAATCTAGTGGTCGAACACCAAAGTTGTTCCTGTTGCAATTGGCCATCCTCGCGAACCAGCATAGTGGAAGGGACACGCACATTCGACAGCTGAAGCTGTTTTCTGCACGCGAGTAAGAATAGGGAGGCAACAGTTTGACGCGCAGGGTGCAATTGATGGCTTCAGAACTGACGGGACTACTCTCTCTCTCTCTCTATAGATCTCTTCAGTTCGCCGATAGCGAGGATCCGCCGTTCACTTCACCCCTGTTCCATCAACTCTCTGTACTCCGATGATCCTTCGCCGTCTTCATGCCATTGCTCGTAGTGGGAAGAATGTACGATCCGTATCTGTCCCGGCCAGGCCAGTACTTGGGCACCGAGTCATTAAAGATCGAGGTTGATCTGACGGTCCCCCTAGCGCAGCTGATCGTCCCAAACGCCCTCCATGATCGTTTAGCCTAGGAAGCTGTTACTTGTTGGACAATAAACAGAGTTCCTGCCAGCTGTGATGAGAAGGGCGGGGGAGGCTAATCCTGCTGCTGATCATTCTGGCCATGGTGAAGGCGCACAATGATGTGGAAGAAACCGATGAGCTGCAGTTTCACAGGCCGCCACAAGTTTTTAGCCACAGCATTTTTTTTTTCGTGTCCCACTCTCTCTCTCTCTCTCCTCGCTACTTCATTCCACCACCTCCACTCTGATCCGTTTTCCACCATCGTCACTCCCATACTCATATGCACACAGGCATACACCCTTACTCCTCCTTACGCCTGCACTCTTGTCTCTTCTTCACCATCCTTGATAACACACCTACATATGGCCTTTCAAGTTCATTCAAGTTGAAGGTAGGCCGGGTTGTTAGGACTGGTGGGCCCAAAGTACCACCAGGCCGTTCCAGGATAAAAAGTCGAAAGTGCTGGGCGGCTGCATCTACCTAGAGTCTTCTCAAAGTAACCCCTTCCTCTTTTTCTCCCTCTCTTGTTCTTGTAGAGTCGCCACATTGCTTTGCCACAACTGGACTTGACAGCGACAACGAGGAGAGCGTAGGGATCGTCGACTGGATGGCGCTGCAACTATCAAGGACAGACTCTATCTCAGCCACACCTGTCGGGTGTTATTTGAACACGCCTCGTCCGGCCTCCCGCTGGAATAGGCATTCATGACATGTCCATTTGCTGCTGGTCTCCACTTGTCCCACTGACAACAAGGTTTCATTAAACTTGGTCTGTGCACTCCATCAACTGGACGTCAGGCACGCGATGTATGTGGACTCTTATCACAACGACACAGGATTCGAGAGCTCTCTTCTATCGGTACCCGCGCGAGATGATCACCAACAAATGTGAAGGAATCTTTTAGCCTTTTGGAGGAGTCAAGAGTCTGAACCCCATGCAGACAGTTCCAACGCCATGGAAGGTCCGATTAATCACGCGCCAGGGCTTCAAAACAGGGACGTTTAAGCGACAATGATGCAGATACCCAGGACAACACGTTTCTTTTTTGGCCGAGAACCATGGGGGGCCAATTGTTTCAGCTGTTTACAGGAATCAGTACGGGGAAGAAGGAGTCAAAAAGCTGCAGGACACTTGTAGGAAAACTACGCAAAAAAAAGAAGAAAAAACGCTTTTTGGACCAGGATCCCAGGATCCCGGGGCCCGGAATCTACGCCATCGTGGCAAAAGAGTGACGACAGTGGGATTCGAACCCACGCCCTTTCGGACCGCGACCTGAACACGGCGCCTTAGACCAACTCGGCCATATCGCCTCCAACATGCGATTTCGTGAAGCCGGCTCGGGATTCACCGTACCTAGTCTATGTCACATGACATGCACGTTACTCCCCCCCCCCTTCTTGGCTCCGGAGCGCGTGTGTGCTCCATCAAGCAAGCACCCCACAGGACTCTTGTCATAGCCATTGATGCCGTGCGAAAGAGGAGCTGATCGGGAATGGAAAGGATGGATCCCCAACATCAAGAGCGACTCGCGCGACTGGTACAATTGCAATGCTGGTATCGGGCACTACTACAACACGAAAAAGACCGAGGACGTCTGTAAGAGATCTCAGACGATGGGATCAGGAAGGAATGGAAAAGGTTATCGATGATACATATATATATATACATGTATATCGGTTGTAAGAGGATGAACTTGGGGCGAGGGGGGCGAGGGGGAGGTCCCTCTGCGGCGCCTTGAGTCACTGTTGTTTCAAGCTCAATCACACAATGGACTCGGGTTTCGTGCAGCGCTCAGGGTCGACCATCCTGGATGCTATTGTCAGCAATACCCGGATTGGGGGGAAAGAATCGGATCGACATTTCTACTGTGCTGGAGGCGCTGTTCGTTTTGCTCACGATCTCCGACAACCTAGCCTCCAAACTCTCTCCATGAGCCCATCCCCATTGTTCTTGCCGTCAACTCTGTTCGTCGACAAGGGCGGGGGTTTAACTGGACAGCTTGGGATGCCCTGGGGGAGAAGAGAGGTAGGGCTACATTGGCAAGGATGTGGATGGAGATTCGCCTCTTTCTCGACTCGGCTTTTTTGGAATGGTGGTGGATGGCCCATCCAGGTCGTCTGCTCTGATGGGGGAAATGAAGCAAGGTCAACTGCGGTTGGTGAGGAGCGTGAACCTTGTGTGCAGTGCCTCATTGTGATACTGGTTACCGAATCTGAGCCGCATTCCACTTGGCAACGTTCCTGGGTATTAGACTTTGACATGTGGACTATGAATGGTCTTAAATAGGATGGGCCTGTCCGCCCACTTGTATTTCTTTTGTCTCTTTCACCTTCTTTCCCCCCCCCTCCTCTCTCTCTCTCACCCTCACCCGTATTCCGGCCAGCCATGACCGGATCTGTCCTCCTCCTCGCCGTCCTTTCCTCACTCCTCACGCTCACCTTCCTTTCCACTCTTGCTCATGGCCAAGGGGCAAGTGGGGTGTCGGCCGTGTCACAAGCCGCCTATGGACGCAGTGGATCCAAGTTTTATGTTCTGGGCGGAGGAATCGTCCGCGAAGTGATGGACAGGAACATTAAACCGTTCTACACCTCTCCACAGTCGATCATGGGCAATGGACAGTTTCTGGTTCTGGATGTATCGACGGCCTGGGACGGGTCATCGCCTGCATGGAGCAAACTGGCGACAGGACCGGTCCAGATGGGGTTCTCGATGGGAATCAGCAAGAACAGTAGCAAGATTGTGGCGTTCCATGCAGGAAAGGCGTCCAACGAGAGTTTTGCACAGATCTATGATGTGCCGAGCAACACTTGGAAGGCATCAAGTGTCACTGTCCCCAATCCGACTCGCCCAGGTCTGATGGCCGTGACAGATCCAAACACAGACAAGGTCTACATTGCAGGAGGCTACGAGACGGACAACAACTTGGATCAAATGTACATTTACGATATGGCGACGGATCAGATGGGCAAAGTGGCCATGACGAGCCAGATGACAAGCGTCAACTACTATGCCGCTGGATGGTGGTCCAAGAAAAATAGCATCCTGTACTTTGGCGGCTACATGCAGCCATCTGGCGATTTTGCTTCCAATGCGATCGCCGTGTACAACACTGCCACCAACAATTGGGACTCTACTCTGGTAAGCTCTTCTTCTTGGTGATTCATTGGGGGGCGATCAGCTCTGAGGCTTTGGGAGGGGCGTTGAAGCTCTTTTGTACTGACCACTTGATGTGTTCAATTCCATACCTCATAGAGAACGACAGGAGAGGCTCCATCGGGTCGCGCCGACATGTGCATGGCTATTTGTAAGTCCCTTTTTTCCTATCTGGTGCCTAGTTTGTTTGAAACTCGTTGCTAACATGGACTCTCTCAATGACCTTTCTTTGTCTTTACTCTTAGCTGACGATGGATCATATCTTGTTGTCTTTGGAGGCAGGTTTAATACTCGATTCGATCAGACCATCATATCAGACATTTTTGTGCTCAACCTCGACACTTTGGTCTGGAAGAAGGGAAGGAGTTATTCCAAGCCCAGGACGTATGCTTCTTGCACCATTGTTGGCGACACTTTTCTCTCTTGGGGCGGTAAGGGGCATCTCTCTCTCTCACTCTTTTGTATTCTTTTGTTTCCTTATGATGATGAGGAACCCACGATGCTGACAAGAAAGTACATCCCTCTTCTTTGCGATTATAGGCACGGACACTCAAGCAACTGTAACGGACCCAGTGATCATCTACGACATTAAGCGCAACAAGTATCTCAGCAAGTTTATGGGGTCTAATCCCGACTCGGATTATGATCCTTCGATGGGAGCACAGAGAGATTCCGGAAGCTCAGGATCCTCGGGTGGTGGTGGTGGTGGTGGTAGCTTTCCAACATGGGCCGTTGTTCTCGTCGTCGGTTTTGGAGTGCTCATCTTTATTTTCATGGCCATCTGTGCGTATCGAATCAACCAGCGCATGTTGAACCGCTTCTTGGACAGCGGCGTCAATCTCACAGTCGTGACTACCCAGCAGCCTCCTGCTCGCCCCAACCGCCAGAAAACGTCGGGTGCCAAGAATGCCAATGCTGCTCGTGCTGGAGGTGGTGCAACAACAACAACAGCGGGAGGATATCAGCCATACCCAGTCATGGAAACGCCATCATCGCCTCGACAACAGCAACAGCAACAGCAGATTCTTGTGGCTCCACCACCACTCCCAGCCTCCCCACAGTCATACCCAATCCCTCTTGTGCAATCGCAATACCAGTCTAACGGATCTCCACCACAAGCACGGTCACCCTCACTGACACCTTCTGCTCCTCCACCATACACGAGCACTTTGGTTTCATCACGGATTCGTGGACCGGAAGCAAGAGAGATTGAGGAGAGCTATCACGATGATATGGGGGGACATGGAAACAGTCGATCGTCGCTCGTGCCTTCGCAGGCACAAGATACCAACCGGAACCCTCAATTGAGAAATTGAGACGAGTAGGAGGAGAGTGAGAGGACCATAGAGACCTAAAAAAGAGTAAGAAAAACGGGCATTCATTCTACATTTCATGAGATACTAGGCCGATATGGCTGATTTTTGATTGCTTGGCCCATGGTCCTAACATGCCAACTTGCGCGACCAAGACGACGTTCCGCGGAGACAGTCACACAGGACGTCTGCGCGGCAATCTTTCCTTCCTTCTTTGAGGAATGAGATTCTCAACAATGGTGAAGGCAGGAGAGGGGAGGGGATAAGAGTAAGAGAGAGAGAGAGAGAGAGAGAGAGAGAGAGTTTCATTTGTTGTATTGTACAGAAAGATCATAAGTTCATCAGAGATCGTTAACCACATTGCAATCCACCTCACAGAAAAAAGTGGGGAGGGGGGAAAGGAGAGATGGAGAGGTGTCGAGTAATCTATCCTTTGGCGCCAGCTCGGAGTCCGAGCATCATCTTCATCGAGTTCCATCGTCCAGTAGCTGCTGGTTTTTCCGTCACCGTAGTGGCTGGATGGGCCACCTTGGCTCGGTTATGATGCATGCCTGTTCCTGTTCCCGCCATCATGTTGAATCCATTGAGACCTTGGTTGTGATCATACGAGCCACTGCGCTGGTGCTGTTGCTGTTCACGGCTGTCATAATAGTGATTGCCTGCCAATGCTCCACCACCTCCTCCTCCCAACAGTGCTGGTCCCGACATGGACTTTTGAATCATCCGTTCATGCGGCCCCAATTCCGTTGGGGACAATGACTGAGGGGACTGCATTAGTAGAGAGGATGGAGGCGAGATGCCTACTGGTGGGTGAGAGAGGTTGGAAGGAAGGTATCGGTTGGGCATGGCGGGGGTTGGAGGGATGGCTGACGACAGCAATTCGTCCTGAGCATCCTGCAGATATCCCGACACGAGACAGGGGCTCGACTTTGACGTCTTGAGATGGTGGGGCTGTGTTGTGGCGGCGGCAGCAGCAGAAGGCGAGGAAGATCCTGTGGGTCGTGGTCCCGATCCATGCAAAATCTGATCATCCGACAGTGAGCGCGAGTACGAGTGTTGATTCGATGACGGCAACGAAGAGATGGGAATGGGTGTCGTCATGGAAGGCGGAGAACTCGACAGCTCTGGAGTGCCTGGGGGATTCAGCAATGGCCGTGGCAGTCCAATAATGTTGGAGGGTGGGACAGATGTGGTCACAGACGCTGGAAGAGGTGGGAGAGCATGGTCACTGCTAAAAGCGCGCTGTAGCTGCATGGGTTGCGAGGGTGAAGGTGCAGGCAGAGACGAGGTTCTTTTTGAAATGGTTGGCTTGACAGGAAGCAATGTGGGCGATGTTGCTGGTGAGGATGATCCAGGGGGTGCCAGGGTCTGTGGTGGTGTGAGCAATCCTGATGGACCTACACGGTTACTAGCGGTATTATGAAGAATGTTGTGGTGTGAACTAGTCGCGTCGGTTGCAGAGGGTGTCAATAACTGTCCAGCCTGAAGCAAAGAAGATCGTCGTCCAGGGACAAGAACCTGCTTTGGAAGTCCATGAATACTCTTTCGGACAGGCATATTCTTGCTGTTGAGATTGATTCCGTGAGCAGCCAAGATGGTGGCATTGTTCGCGATGACTGAGCCTTCGTGACTAGTAGCATGATTCCTAGAATCGGCGGATGAGGTGGACTGGGATCGTTTGCGGACAAGGGTGGCAGCAGGAGCCGGCACTCTAGGACCAGCCGATCCGACTCCTGATGCACCGAGTCCAGGTGTTCCGAATCCAGCGCTTCCAGTACTGCTGACAGATGTTGTACTTGATGCCGAGGATATTGATGACACTGTGGATGAGGTGGAGGCTGTGG